CCACGGGGAATGTGTCATTCGATCACTCCAGTACGGGATACAGAGAGAATTAACACGATATCGCACAGGACCTCACCAGAATGGAATACAGGTCTAGAATTTTTTTATTTTTATTTTATTTTATTTTTTTTTATTTTTATTTTATTTTTTTTTTATTAATATTTGTAAAGATAACAGGCTTCTTTGCCCTCTCAAACTTGGTCTAGGTTTAGGTTTAGATTAGGTTAGGTTAGGTTTTTTTTTTTTTTTTTTTTTACTAGCTGGATCCCCCACTTTTTAGCAGGTTGTCTTTTTAATCTTTTATATTTTTATACTTCTTTTCTTTTTTTATGTTTGCCAGGTTTAAAGCCTGTTCTGTCTATGGGGAATGCTCTTTTTCCCTCTTTTTTTACTTAATCTTACTTTCTAATACATTGTCACTTATTTGCTAGTTACATATTTTTATTATATTATTTACATCTTTTTCTTATCTATACATTTATATATGTTCTTTACATTTTATTTTTCTTTTACTTATTATCTATTTCTTTTATGTACAATATTGATTGCTTACTTATTTACTTAAAACTAATTCATGTTTCCTGTGTTGTTTACAATTTTCTTAGTCACTTAATTAATCCTTATTTCTTTTGGCAACTTTCTCTATTATAATACTAGCATATTTCATAAATTTCTCCCTTTCCTCAGCATCTGACATTATTGTTTCCAAATTTACTTTGCTATGGTTTGATTTGATGTGATTTTGTAATGTGTACCTATCATTCCCGAAAATTGGGCATTCCAACAGTACATGAAACACATCTTGTTTCACTTGGGGGTCGCACTCACAAAATGGGGTATCCTTGCGTTTGTAATCATGGAGGTAGGACTTAAACCCTCCATGCCCCGTTAACAATTGTGCAGCCCACCTATCTATCTTCATCTTTCTTACCACTCCGAAGGCCCTTTCCCCACTGGGGAAAAAGACCTTCGTAGTGGCGGCGGTGTTTTCGCTCTTATAACAGCTATCCCATTCTACCTTTGTCAAATTGCGTAAATGCCTTTTGACAAAGGAGATGGGGCAGCCGTCATAGTGCGATTTACACTTCAATCCGAGAGCCGCCCCCTTCGCCAACTCGTCCGCCCTCTCGTTCCCAATCACGCCGACGTGGGCCCTGATCCAAAATAGGGAGACCTTTTGGCCTAAGTCCCTAAGTTGTATCAGGTTGCCTTGAATCGCCTTCGTGATTGGGTGCGAAGAGTCCGGATCCTGTAGCGACTGTAGGGCGGATCTCGAATCGCTGAGCACCGCCGCATCCTTCCATTCTTTTCTCATCACGTATTCCGTTGCTTGGAGGATAGCATACAGCTCGGCCTGGAAGACCGTACAGTATGGCTCCAGCTTAAACTTTCGGGAAGCGATCTCAACAGCCCCTTTCCAACAGGTCAGGGCTGCACCGACTTTTCCCTCAAGCTTGCTGCCATCTGTATAGATCTTCACAAGGTCTTCTGCTAGTTTACTATCCTCTTCCGCATTTTCCAGACACTCAAACTCTATCATACCTAGGCTGCCGGGGTGGTTCGATTCCTGCAAGGACACCCTCTCCTCTACTTTCCTGCCACTTAGTATTGCCTGGGGTTTCCCGCGCTTTGCTTCATAAAGCCGGGATGCTTCTTGGACCCTAAGGTCCAGCGGAAGCAGCCCCGACAATACTAATGCGGAATTTAGTGAAACTGTCCTGTATGTTTTTGCGATTTTTTGCGCGAACCCCCTTTGTACCCCATTAAATACTTTCTTACTCTTAATTTTGTTTGCTTCTTTACCCCAAACGCTTGCCGCGTACAATATTATTGGTTCTATCACAGCTATGTATATTGTTCTAAGTACTTCCGGGTTTAGGCCCCATGTTACCCTAGCCGATGTTGATATTCCTTTATATATATTAATGGCCTTCTGGCAGACGTATGTAATATGGTTGTTAAAGGTAAGTTTTCTGTCTATTAAGACCCCCAGAATTTTTATTTCTTCCTCTAATATTATTTTTATACCTCCCATGGTCAGATGGGGGGTATCATATTTCAATTTATTCGTTATTATCATGGCTTTGGTTTTTTGCGGTACAAAATTTAGTTTGTTGTCTCTCCCCCATTCTCTGACCATGGTTAGTGCCCTATTAGCCTCTATTTCTAATTTCTGGGAGCTTTTTTCAGATATAATTATTACTACATCGTCTGCAAATGCCTGACAGTAGATGTCAGCCTCGGTGAGACTGTTTAAAAGTGGGTCCAATATTAAATTCCAAAAAAGGGGTCCTCCTATGGACCCCTGTACACAACCTTTGTTTGTTTTTCTTTTTATTTCTTTACCCGCATATCTCACCGTGACTGACCTGTCATTTAAGTAACTCGCTACCATTCTTCTTAAATTAATTGGGCATTTCATTTTGTGAAGCTGGCAGTGGATCCGTGGCCACCAGGCGTTGTCAAAGGCCCCCTCTATGTCCAGCGAGATTAGGGCTACAATCTCCTTCTCCTCCAGATTGCTCCTAATCCGCTGGACCATATCATAGAGGGAGTCTTCGGTGCTCCTTTGTGGTACGAATCCATACTGCCTGGGGTTTAATTTAGGGAGGATATGCCATTTCAGGCGTCTTACTAACATCTTTTCCGTTATCTTACCTAAGACAGAGAGCAGCCCTATAGGACGATACGATTTGGGTACATTGTAGTTTGATTTCCTTGGCTTTCTCAAGGTTATTACAGTAGCCTCCTTCCATGTGGTTGGGAAATACGCTAGCTCCAATCCTTTGTTGTAGATGGCGAGAATCGTTTCAGTGTCTGCTTTTATGGTTTCAGCACATATATCCGCCGTGAGTCCATCTCCTCCCGGTGCCTTCTTCGGGTTGAACGACCCCGAGGCGTAGAGTAGCTCGGCTTTCGTGAATGGGGGGTCGTAACTATCATTGTTACTCCCAACATTCACTTCCGTCGCTCTACTTCTCACCTCTCTATGGGTTTCGTTCTCACCCTCCTCCGTGTCCACCGGGTAGAAGCTCTCAGCCACTATATGCGCCGATTCCTCCGGACTGCTGGTTTTTCCGTTTATGATCATCATCTGATCCTCGCCATTCCTTTTTGTTTTCGCTATTACTCTATAGATTCCCTCCCACATAGTCTCTCTGTCTTGCTTACTGCAGAATTCTTTCCAACTCTCCACACTGGCCCTATCCATCTCTTTCAAATACTCTTCTTTTGCCAACATGAACTGCTCGATGGTGTATTTTTTCCTTTCTTGTGATGCGTTCTTAATTCTTTTCCTTCTTCTATTTTTCTCTTTCTTTAATTCTTCCAATTTCTCTGTCCACCACACGATCCCTGTTCTATTTTTGTTCATTTTCGGTTTACTGTTCCTCGCTATTGTTCCTTGTATTACTTTCGTAAGTTTATTTATTATTGTCTCGTACTCCTCTGTGTTAGCTATCTCGTCTATTTTTTCCTTTGTGATTCCATTCTTTTCCATTTCTTCTTTTACCTCTTCTCTAAATTTTTTCCAATTTGTTTTCTTGGTATTATATTTTCTAGTTGTTTTCTTATTCTCGCTTTGCTCTTCCTTACCCGTTTCAAGCCCGAACAGGATCGTGTTATGGTCAGATGTAGTGATATTTTCATCTACCCTCCATTCTTTTATCTTTCCTACTAATTCCTTCGAGCATATTGTGATGTCCACGTGGCTTTTGTATTCCTTCCCTCCTCTCCATGTGTGGAAAGTTGGGGTTCTGCCAATGTTAGCTACTTCCATATTCATATCATTTATTGTACCCATAATCTCTTCTCCTCTTTCGTCATCTTTTGCACTCCCCCACCACTTGTTCCATGCATTTGCATCCCCTCCCATTATCATTCTGATTCCTTTCGTCTTTTCTCTTATGTTTTCTAATTGTTTAATATACTCGCTTATTTCTTTATCTGGTTCAAAGTAAAATGAGACGAGTATGACCGGCCAATCGGGTGTTTCCATTTTTGCTACCGTGATGTTTGGTGTTATTAGATCGGGGAGAGAGTATATCTTTATGTTATTGTTAAAAATTAATATAGCTGCTTTGTTTACTCTCCCCGGTTCATAATCTGCTTGTATTATCCTCAGTCCCGATTGGTCGGCCAATACTCCTCTGTTACCAGTATAAGGTTCTTGCGCTAGTACTATTTGTGTTTTTTTGTCTGTCGCCGTCTGTATCATTTCGGCCGTTACATTCCTAGAGCGTTGGAGATTTAATTGCATAATTTCTATATTATTTTGGGTGCCCTTAGCAATAAGATACTTTACTCCTTGCTAGTCTTTCCATTCTAATTCTTATCGGGCACATACTACTAAAGGTATTATGCTCTACGCTCCCTTTATTATTAACTTCTTTAATACAATTTCTGCATTTTGGGGGGGCATTTTTCTCTTTGCATGCAGCATACAAGTGGTCTCCTCCACAGTGGCAGCATCTGTCCTGGTGCTCCTGGCAAAACCGTTTGCTATGGCCGTAGCCCAAACAGCGGGAGCACTGGATAAGCGGGGACTGATCCTCCACGGGTGAGTATCCCCACCGTAGTTGTACACTCCCCGCCTCTGTCAGCTGCCGCCAAGTAAGTGGGTCCACTCGGAAGACCACACTTGCTACATGTGGGTTCCTTGTCTTCTTCTCATATACCATTTCTATTTCCTCCTTCTGTTCTGCCCCCCTTTTCCCTATCATTCCAATTTTCCTTTTTACTGCTTCCATAGCCTGTTCTACTTTTTTATCGCCTTTTATATTCTTGATGATAATTAATGGGTTTCTATTCTTTGCCTTCTCTATCTTTAATTTGTCATTAGCCTCCAGTTGCTCCTTGAGCTTTCTTGCTTCCGCTTCCTTTGTACAGCTTATTATCAGCTTTTGTCCTTTAGTCTTTTTCACCCTCACCACTTCGCACCACTCCTCTTTGTTTTTTGTCATATTTCTCACTTCCGTAAACACGTCCTCTCCTGTTTTATTTTAGTCTACTGAGTTGACTATGATGGAGTGGTAAGTTGTGTGAGGGCGTCTTTGTCCTTTATTGTTTAGTTTTTCCGCATATGTTTCCGTTCTTTCTCCTTCTGTTTCCTTCTGCTGCACAATTCTAACTTTCTCTTCCTGTGTTTCCTTGATACTATTTATAACTTCCTTTCCTATTTTGTTATCTTGCCTTATTTCTTCTGATACTTTTCTTATCTTCTCTATATTTTCCTTTAGTTCTTGATTCATTATTTTATTTTCCTTACAGATTTCTGTTAATTCCTTATGTTGTATTTCGTTGATTCCCGAACTTCCACTTTCCTTCTCCTTTATCATATTTATTGTTTTCTTTTGTTCTTTAGTTAATTTTTCGATTTTTTCTTGGACTTCTTTATCTACCTTATTTTTCTCTTCTTGATTTCTCTTTATTTCCTCTTTACACTGCTCAATTTCCAATTTTATTTCCTGTTGGCTTCTTTCTATTTGTCCGTTATTCTTTTGCAATTCTTGTACGTGATCCATCGCATTGTGCACCATGTCTGTGCACATTGCTCTTGTTCTTGTGTTCTCCTCCTGTATTTCTGTTAACCCATTTTTTATCATCTCTTCTATTTGGCTATAATCCGTTTTTTGTAAATATTTTGCTACTAATTCTTTTATCATATTGTCCATCTTTTTCGCTTCTTCCGCTACTTTTTTACCTATGTTTACATCCGCGTTTATTGCCAATTTCGATATGTTGGTATATGCTATTTTACTTCCTGCTAAGTATTCTTTCATTTCAGGATTTTCTTCTTTATGGTTTTCTTGTCCTTCTATTTGCTGTGAGTGGTGGGCTGCCATGGCTATGCTCTCTGTCTTTCTTGTCATTTTCTTATTTACGTTTGGGTTTGCCATTTTGTATTTTGGGATTTTATAAGTATTAGGTTTAATAAGTTAATAAATTAGTTAAATTGTATGACTCAATGGAGATTAAATAGTAATTATAATTAAATTGTATGACTCAAAAGAGAATAATTAATATTTGAATTTAAAACTGTTTAAATTATTATTAAGTTAAGTTAAAATTGTATATTAAGATAAATTAAAATATTAAAATTGTGTTAAAATTAATGACTCAATAGAGGATTTATATAATTGAATAAAATTAAAATTGAATTAAATTATATTAGATGAATTAAAATAAAATTAAAATGAATTTAAAATGGTGCTAAATAAAATAAGGTAAGTAATTTGTATTAGAATTATTGTTTAAAATGACTAGATTTGAGTAATTTGTTAAAAACCAATTTTTACTTTTTAAAATCCCTAAAACTAATTAAAAGATATATAAGTGACTGAATTATTAATTAAAATGTTTGTAAAAGTTTTATATTAGGACTACACAACACTTATTTATATTAATGACTAGATATTTCAGCAATCTTTATTGTAAAGTTTATGTTTGATCTATTTTGTGTCTCTGTGTGTCTGTGTATGTTTTATGCCTGCCTTAGCTTGGGGAACCTTTGTCGATTTCTATAAAATTCAGTTTTATTTATTTGTTGTCCTAACTAACCTATGTCAAAATTTAAAATGTTTAAAAAGTTTGTATAAGTTGTATGATAAGACGATACAACACTCAATTATATTAAAAAGTTAAATTTACCCAATTTGGGACGTAATTAACAAATCCAATAAGGATAGACGTTAAAATCAGTTTAAAATAATAAATAGTCAGTTAAAAGTCAATAATTATTTTTAAAAGCCCAATAGGGTGTATGATACAAGTCAATAAAACACTTTAAATTACAATTAAATAATAAATACTATTAAATTAAAGAAAATTATTTTTAAAAGCCCAATAAGGGTAAAAACGTCTAAAACTGTCAATAATTGGGTTTAAAACTTAAAACTAGGACGTGTCCCAAGAGGGTACACTGTCAACAAACAAAAACACACAAAATTATGATAAGTCAGGTACAAAAGATTTGGGAAAAGTTAAAAATAGGTAAAATAAATAAAGTACACAAAATTTTTTATTTGATAATGTCAAAAAGAAGATTCTTGTTTAAGGTCTTCCTTGTCTTTTATTTATTTGTCCTTGACAATTTTTTGGGAATTTTTGTATAAAAATCCACAAAGTTGTGACTTTTCCCAAGTTTTCCGGGATTTTCTCGGAAAATCCCGGGTCTAATTTGTTGCGTCTCGCGCCGTCCGCAAGAGCTCTTTGAGCCCTATTGTTTGATACCTGTCTTGCCCCGCTGCGATGGGTAGTTTCGGAGATATACCCCTTTGAAAATCGGCAAAAAACTCGGCCCGAATGGGACGAGTGCCGATATCTCCGAAACTATTGACCCTGTGGAACTGGGACTTTTTGGTATTGGGTAGAGGGAATCCTGCCGCACCTATTTCCGGGGTCAGATGAGTTTGCCCCGGGACCTTGAGTTAGGGCAAATTTGCCCTACGGGTTTGATAGAGCTTGGCAGGGGGTAGTATATGCGGAAAACCCCGTTTCTCTGCGACCAGAGTTGCCCGAGCTACAGCCTCTCAAAATAAGGGGGTGAAGTGACCCCCCAAACTTTGGAGGTCTATAACTCTACCCTTATTCGTCGCACAGAAATGGGACTTGGAGTGGTGTGGGAAGGAAGGTGAGGTCTTGCTGGTACAATCTCAAAATTGAGGGGTTGAGTTCAACCCCTCCAATCCGAACCTCACCCTGTGGGATGTGTAGAGGGGATATGGGGACGGATATGATTTGAAATCCCTGCTATCTACGTCCAATATTGGCGGAGATATGGAGATTCCAAAATTTCCAAAATGGCCGAACCAAGATGGCCGACCACTTTTTGGAAATTAATATCTCCGTCAATACGTGTCGCAGAAGCGTGGGGATCTCGATGTTGAGTTGAGGGGGAAGGGAACTATAGGAATCCCGTTCCAAAACGAGGGTCCGCGAAAATTTTGGGTCCGAAATTTTTGGAAATTTAAAAAGTCCAAAATTTTTGATTTTTGAATTTTGCGCCCTGCCGGGGCCTAGGGGATTTTATGCCTAACACAATACCGAAAACCGCGTTTTTAAATTTTGAAAAACCAAAGAGTTATAGCGGGGCAAAGTTTCGGCCCGTTGGTCCCAATATGGCCGACTTTTCTCGGGTTTTCCGTTATGATAGCTACAGGGCCGGTCTTTGGGGTGTCATATGGTCCCAGGGGGGTTATATATCCTTTCCCGAGGTCGGTTTACTCCTATCTTTCTAAGGTTTTATATGGTGGGACAAAAGAGGACAAAAATAATTATAACTTAAAAACTATAAAAGCTAAAATTCCAAATTTTTACCTACGTGTAATACTAATATATATCTATCTTATATCAAAATTTCAGCCTTCCAGCTCTGAAGATCAGCCCTCTGGAGCCTGCAGAAAAGTGGGCCCACTTTTTGCGGGCCGATTCCTCCGGTTGTAGAAGAGCTCCAGTGATGCCGATTTTTTTGTGGATAGGTCTGGGGATTGTCTACACGGGCCGCTCATAAAACTGAGCTGTTCTCCACAATCCCCAGACACTATGAATTTTGAATGTAAAAATTTTCAAAAGTGCGTAGGTTCGTTATTTCTCGATGGATTTTTTAGAGAATTTGACCTTATTTGTTGTCTTCGCGTCCTCTTCCAGGCTGCACCGTCGTCGTTGCTCCAGGTCCTCGGGAACTGGTACCTCGTGGCGAGAGGTTATTTGGTTTTTCCCAAATACCTCTCAAGCCACGAAGAGTAGAATTTTGCCCGAGGTGTCAGGTGAAGCGCCTCCTTGGCACGCGTCTTTTGACGTATCGTACGCCGCAATCCGTAAGTAGGTTCCTTAGTTGTAACTTAAAAACACTTGTTTTTTATGTAAACACGTGGTCACTTTTTCGTTTTTCTTTAATAACTTTTCACTCTGTTTACCGATTTTCACTCGCGATGCGTCGTTAAAGATCGCAAAAGATAGGTCTCGCCGAGACCTATCTTTTGACATATAACACTTCCTTCTACGTTTCGGATTTAGGGGAGACTGGGGCTGGTTTTAACAGGGGTAAATACTGTTAGGTTATTAAAACTAATTATGACTTTTACTTATTATGTTCATTTTATTTTGCAAGAAATTTATATAAAAGGAACGTATCTGATTGTCTATGCATAAAATACCAATAACATTGTTTAATATTATAATCTTGTTAATTAATGATTTTCCATGTTTAACCTGCATGTATAATTAAATAATCATTAAACGCTATTTATGGAAATAAATAATAGTAATTATGTCTTAAGTTATGATAATAAGATATGAGTTCTATTATCAATTCACTCTGTGATTCTAAGTTGTTCATTAAAGAATATAAATATATTATAAAACAAAATCTATTAAAATATTAATTAATCTCATAAAATTTTAAGTATCGTAAGCATTTATGATTAACAATCTCAATTAGTTTCCGTTTCACTTTTATCTCTCAGTATTCTTTTTGTGTCATGGCACCCTTGTTTTTTTACGGGAAATGAGAGGAGTACTATTATTCTATGGCAATGGCGCTCGTAGTTTTCTTTCGCATGTTCAGTCAAGATTTTTCAGAAAGAGTAATACGAAAACTAATAGAGGTTGAATACATTTATATAGAGATCAAGACCTCAAAATAACTATTGTACAATCTAATTGCAAATTAATAAACAGCAAAAGTTATAGAAAGGTGTTTTATTAGTGAGCAATCTTATAAACTTCAGAAGTGGGATCGACACGCGCTTTGTATTCAGGTATTGGTAAATAAAAAATACTTGCAGGTGAGTGTTTTATCTTACTTATCAACTCTTACTTTTAACGAAAAAACTTATGTAAAAAGTTTTCATTAGCAATTTCATAAAGTGTTAACTTCATTAAACGAAACAAACTCGCTAATATGTAATTAATTAATCGTTTGTATTCATTAAGTTTAATGGCCATCTCTTAGCATATAAATTTAACAAGTGATATCAGCCTTGTTATTTTTCTTAGCTGGTAGAGGAAAGTGAAAATACATAACTAATGGTTGTGAAATAATTATTGCTTAACTTTTGGCTTTTATAATGTAAACAAAATTTCTATTCTATAGACTAGGTACATTATTATATTACCAATGTCACATCTGTGTTGTTTTGAACATAATAATTTTACAGAAGTTGTAAAGAATAAATTTTAACTTTTGTCATAGGTGGACTTGTATAAGTAATGTTAACAATATTACTATTCTAAAGACTACATTATTATATTAACAATATCACATTTGTGTTGTGTTTCACATAATAATTTTACAGAAGTTGCAAAGAATGAATTTTAACTTTTGGCATAGGCAGACTTGTATAGGTATAAAGTAAACAATATTTCCATTCTAAAGACTACATTATTATATTAACAATGTAACAATTGTGTTGTTTTTAACATAATAATTTTACAGAAGTTGTAAAGAGTAATAGATATTATGATGATGATTAATTAATATGTACATGTTTTACAGTACAAGTATCACTGTTCATTGTATAATACAATGCCAAGTGACAGACGATCACGGAACCGGAATACGTGTACGCCTGAAAGGCGGCAGTCATTCTCTACCAACAGACGTCGAGCTGGTGAAGTTAAGAGAAGGCGGTCGCGATCCAGCTCTAGGCGCCAGTCGCGATCCAGCGCTAGGCGCCAGTCGCGATCCAGCTCTAGGCGCCAGTCGCGATCCAAGTCAAGGCGCCAATCACGATCCACTACGAGTCTACGAGCACGGTGCTCGCGAAGCCAGCGCATGCGATCACGGAGCAGGAGACGACGTCATGCCCAATCGTCAGAGCGTGAAAGCAGGTCTCGTTCAATGTCAAGGTCAGACTCGTTGGTATCACATAGCATACATGCTAATAAGTATAATAAT